TGTTTGGGGCAAGTGCACTTAATAACTGATTTTAGAAGTTAAATATGGTTTCGCTCGGGTGAATGTTTGAACAATTCCCGATTTTCATCACTTTGACACCTTGTATTTTTCCACTCGCTTTGGTCGGTTTAGTCATTATAACTTGCATTTTTCATGTGCAGCGGGGAGTGTACTTCGAAATCACGTACTCTGGTCTTATTGCTAATGCACAATCAAGAATACAAATGATATCCAACTGTAAGGTGAGCTAGCATATGGAATCTGTGTAAAAAATCTTCTGCTTTTATATTACTGTGCTATCTAGGTGAGAAATCAGATCCATCGAATAAGAACTGAAAACGATTAATATGCGGTGACAAGTGTCTGCTATTTTACATTTAAATCTGCATATGTAGAGTTTAACTTCGTTCGAGTTCTTTAATCATTCCCAATAGCTACTCTGTTTCAAGTCGTAGTTCACTTCTGGTTACTGAATTTGTCTCTTATTAATAGTGAGGAAAATGAAACCACTTCCCGAAGTTTCTCCTCAGAAGTTTTGTCTTTATTGGCATAAATTTCGTAAAAGAAATTCATTTTTCTTGTAAGGGTAAATTAGGGTCACCCCCCAGATAAGGTCAAATTACGAAAACAACCCTCATGTTTTCAAATATGAATCTTATACGTCCACCCTCATGGTGTCAAATTTAGTGGAATTTCTAGATTATATAGAATATTCTCCAGTTTGTACCCATTTTACCCCATTCGAGCTCCACATTTTGAAACAAGATGTGCATATGATGTGTCTCTTGGCTTGTAAATAACAGACCGTGGTGCATTAGAAACTGCATTTTTGCACAAAACGAGTACAAATAGTTAATATTACACGGAATCTAGAAGATTATGTTGAATTTGACACCATTAGGGTGGACGTATAAGAATATTCATAGTTGATGGGGTGGTTGTAATTATACAAACATGAGGGTTTTTTTTTCTCCGTAATTTGACCTTACCTCGGGGGGTGGCCGTAATTTACCCTTCTTGTAATGTGCATTCATTGACTTTTGGATATGTGTCATCTGAATCTGATATCTTCCAACATGCTATCGTTTACATGTATGTTTTCAGGTCTCCGGCTTTTAGTTCAACTGTAATCAATCTGGTTTTCTTTCTCCTGAACTCCAAAATTTTGAATTTTCAAGAACATTTAAGTATATTTTTAATTTTCTATTTCATTCTGTTTATTATGTGCTCGACAAATCAGCAAATACGTGTGTATTGCTCCATCTGTATCATTTCTGCAAAAACTATTCTAACTGTATAAGTTCCCAGCTTCTTGTTGATTGGACACGAGGGAAGAATCTAGTATTCTCTAGTGCCGCCACGTCAGCAACCGAACTTAGAGGGCCCTCAGGATGTTTCGAATCCTGTTCTCTCTTATCGGTCT